TTCTTTTTCCTTCTCCAACTGTATATTTTCAAATAGACTATCTTTGACTCAGTGGTTCTTTCTTCTATTTCATATATCTTGCCATTGCTGATTTCTATCATGTTTTCAATTTTGCTTAGTGTGCTTTTAAGTTGAAATATTTCTGCTTGGTTTTCTTTAAACATTCCCATTTCTCTGTCAAATTCCTCAGTTAGAATAATTTCTCTGTGTTCTCTTGGATTTGATCAAGTTTTCTTAAATAAGTCCTTTGAAATCTTCACCCATGCCCTTGAAAATTTCAATTCCTAGATGGTTGGTTTTTGGCGCCTTATTTTGCTGTTTAAGTGAGGTCATGGCTCCATAGTACTTCTTGATGCTGTTGGTGAGCAATATCATTAATGCCTTAAGGGATTAGTTTTAGTAATCTGACTTCATCTATGGTTACCTTTCTAGGAATTTTAAGCAGTCTGTTTATTTCCTTTTAGCCTGTGGATACTTCTACTATGAAAGCACTAGCTGTCGTTTGTCCCAGATCTACTGCTGATGTATTTTTACTGAATCAGATCTACAACACTCTATAAACTCAAGTTTTTCCTGCATCTGCAGTTGGTGTGTTGTTCTATATGAAAAGGTACTTGCCTAAAAGGTGAATATTCCATTCCTGAAAGCCTTTTTCTGGGTTTATATTATTCGTGGACTCTGCCACGTGTCCATGAGTACCTCACATCAAGAGCCCACAGTTCAGCAAGACCAGTGCATCCTGTGGTTAGACTGAAGCCAGCCTTGCTATTGTCTCTATGCCTGATACTAGGAGGCACTGGTGATGCAGCTGGGGTATTGGATTTCTCAACCAGGACTATGGAAGTCCACTGTGCTTACAGCAGAGGTTCTGTTGGTGTGCATTGGCTTGGGGATAGGGACGATTAGGATCTACTCATCAGTGCTGGGTTCTATCAGCCTGGAAGAGTCCCAAAACTGTTTGGTGATTCCTGGTTGTCTGTGCAAGGTTGTAAGAAGGGTGATACAGGAAGCCACTCAGCTACTCAGACAGGCCTTTTGTGAGTCATACATCAGTCTCACAGTCAACAGTCTCTGAACAATCTTAGGAGTTTATATTAAGCTTGCCAGATGCTGGTGATACACATTAAAACAAGTTTGTTGCACCAGGATGCTGGTATCCAGCTTATACTGGAGCAAGTCTAGAGATTGTGCTCATAGGCATTAGACTCTGTCCAGTGTTGGGCTTTACCAACCCACTACTAGTTTCCAGGGCATAGTCTCATGGATGCCTGCAGATTGGCCCCCCAGTGGTCACACTTTGGTCTCACAGTCATTGGGCCCCATGACATCCCAGGAATGCCCCCATACACACAGAAGGCTGACAGTAACACACACCAAAATGAGTCCCACTCACAGGAGTGCCGGTGTCCGCCTGATGCTGGGAAAGTCTAGTGGCTCAGTCTGTGAGCACCGGCTGGTGGGGATGGGGAGGGGCACGGGTAGGGGTCTTTGGACTTTTTCAGGTGCCAGGTCTCAACATAGTATACTAGACTCTGAGCTCCAAGACATGGTCCTAAGCTTATTCTCCCGGCCTGTTCATATGCCTGGAGTTTTGCTTTCTGTTAGTTGTTTGGGGGTGGGGTGTAGCAGAGGTCTTCTGGCTATGGATGTTCCCAATATTTGCTTCACAGGAATGTACCTGCAGAAAGGGAGGTCAGGGCTCAGTCTGGTCGAATTTTTTCACAGTGGGCCTCACACTGGATTTCATTCTCTCTCTCTCTCTCTCTCTCTGGAGGAGGGTTGACATTGGCAACCTTTTCCTTCTTGGTTTCTTAATGAGACTTTTCTTATGATTATACCAACACAAAGACTATTTCTCATCTGCCTTCTGCAGCTCTAGTGAATGTGACTTGGTGTGTCTAGAGTGGTTCACACTGGTGTCTCTGGGAAGGTGATCACTGGAACTTCTTACTCAGCCACAGTCTTAGTTCTACATCTTCATGTTCCATGCTTTCCTCCTTTTTTTTAAAGATTTATTTATGTATTTGAAATCCAGAGTTACAGAGAGGTAGAGGCAGAGGGAGAGAAAGGTCTTCCATCTGCTGGTTCATTCCCCAGATAGCTGCAAGGCCGGAGTTGCACTGAGCCAGGAGCTTCTTCCAGGTCTCCCACATGGGTACAGGGGCACAAGGACTTGGGTCATCTTCTACTGCTTTCCCAGTCCATAGCAGGGAGCTGGATCAGAAGTGGAGCAGCCAGGACTCGAACCAGTGCCCATATGGAATGCCAGCACAACAGGCAGTGGCTTTACCTGCTACTCCACAGCTCAGGCCTCCATGCTTTCCTCTTAATAGTCTGTTTTCCACACAGGAGCTAGAGTATTCACAGTCATAATTTGTCTCCAAATTTTGCTTCAATAATACTGACCATCTTACTGCAACAAATTGTCATTCAAGGATGTTCACACTTGGGCTGGCTCCATCTACAATGCTCTTCCCCTACTTATTTTCATAGAATTCTCCCTTACTCCATTCAGGGCTCTCCTCCAACATCATCTTCCTGACAATTTTACTGGGGCCAGTGTTGTGTTATATGGGTTAAGTAATCACTTATGATGCTGGCAGCCCATTCCCTTGGCTGATTTGAGTGCCATTTGCTTCCCTTCAGATCCAGCTTCCTGCTAATGCCCCTGGGAATGCAGTGAATGATGGCCCAAGTACTGGGGACCTACCACTCATGTGGAAGACCGAGACTGAGTTCCAGGTTCCTGGCTTCAGCCTGGCTCACATCTGTTTGTTGCTGCCATTTAAGGAGTAAGTCAGTTGGCAGAGAATCTCTCTCTCTCTCTCTCTCTCTCTCTCTCTCTCTCACATACTCTCTCTTTCTGTCTCTTCCTCTCTGTCTCTCTCAGTCACTCTTTCAAATAAATAAATAAATAAACAGGTCTTTTAAAACTACAATACTTTTATCTCAATGACATTTGTTTGTTGATTTCCTGTTTTCCAGAAAAGAACATGGCTTCATGAGGACAGGAATATTATCTGTTTTGTTTCCTGCTGTATCTCTAGCCTTGAGAACAGTGGAGGCATATAGTTGCCATTTAATAAATATTTATTGAAAGATCTTTAACTTTTAGCACAAATAAGTTTACATTGCATAACTAGTGACAGTAGAGTTAACCAATAATTAATAACCTCTGAGAAGGAGCTTTCATTCAAGCGGGATGTTAGTGACCTCTTAAGTGTTATTTTCTTCAATTTCCTATTGATGAATACATAATTTGAATATAATTAGGTGTGTTGTTGCCTTTAATCAGTATCCAGGTAGCTTAATAGTGTTACAAAATCTCTCACAACAAGGCCAAGCAGAGTAATATACTGTTTAGAATTGTGAACTTTTTTTAAAAAATAGTTATTGTAAGGTACAGTTGACAGACAATAAATTGTACATATTGAAAGTGTATAATTAAATCAAAATATATGTGCCGTTAAATCCATCATCTCTGTACAAATCTTTGGCCTACAATTTAGTAGAAGAATATATTTTTTATTAATTATTTAACTCTGAAATTCTGTTTATGTATTTGAAAACTGGTGGTAATATTTGTCTCTACCTCATAAAGTTACTGCAGTGTGGAAGTGAGAAACATGTAAAGTGCCTATAAGTTGCAGGTTTTTTTTTTTTTAGCTAAGTAAATAGTGTCCACAGACTACTAAAAGTTTTGTTTTTGTTTTTAATTGGATAAAGCTATTATACTTTATTAGTCCCAAGAATTAAAATTCCTTTCTGGAACAAACAAGTAGTTTAGATTCATTAGAACCAGTCAGAAATTAAGCAGGAAAAGGGAGAACTGGAGAGAAGCTGCCTACAGATAAAATTATCCACATTCAAAATTTTGGAAAAAAAAAGCAAGCAATTGCATGGACCCCAGTAAAAGAAATCTGGAGGTTGCATGTGTGTATCTATCTACTTCTCTGTCTATTGATCGATCGATAGATAGATATTCCAAGATATATATATATATATATATATAATATCAAGATATATATGTGTACATATATACATATGGGATATATATATATATATATATATACACACACACACAAAGATTGTGACCCTAGTGACCCTAAGGAAAGAGATTTTAGTGTGGAAGTAACGTGACTGAGTTTACATCTCTCCCTTTTTCTCTTTTTTAAAAAAGATTTATTTATTTATTTGAAACTCAAAGTTACATACAGAGAGAAGGGGAGGCAGAGAGAGAGAGATCTTCCATCCCCTGGTTCACTCTCCAATTACCTGCAAGGTCGGAGCTGCACCAATCCGAAGCCAGGATCCAGGAGCCTCTTCCAGGTCTTCCACATGGGTGCAGGGGCCAATAACTTGGGCCATATTCTACTGCTTTCTCAGGCCACAGCAGAGAGCTGGATCAGAAGTGGAGCAGCTGGAACTCAAACAGATGCCCATATGGGATGCTTGTACTGCAGGCGACGGCTTTCCCTGCTATGCTAAGGCACCGGCCCCGGGTTTACGTCTCACAAATTAAACTGCTTTATTTTGCTTTGGTGAGGAAAATGAATTGGAGAAGAGAAGAGGAAAGCAAAAAAGCAGAGGGGCCAGTTAGGAAACTATTGTAATAATCTTCAGAAGGAAGTACATCCATTTAGAATAAATTGATGGCAGAGACTTGGAGAAGGGGATAAATTCGAGACATGCATTCTGCAGGTGGAATTGACAGAACTTTTTTTTTTTTTTGGCCATGTACAGTAACTGGGTGCATTTTTGTCAAAAAAAAATAGTCAGTGAGATGTCATGTTTTCTTTCTGACTTCAATTCTTTGATTCTTCTAATATTATTTTTAAAAAATTTATTTATATAAAGAAAACAGATTTTATGTAGTCCGCCGATGCTGTTCTAGTATGATTTTGCTGTGTCCTAGTGGATCAGCTACTGTTGTTTCACTCAGAGAGGTTGGCCCAGAGCCAGCTGGGTGGTGCTTAGTAAGTTTCAGTTTCCTTTCTCAGGGTTTCTTGGAAGCTAGTTCTTCAGTTTGCTGAAGAATTTTCTGCTCCCATTTTGTGGCTGACTTGAGCAGCTCCCAGCAGCTCCAGACCTTGTTCAGATTCTTCAGACAGGTAATTGACTTGCTACTTTCCACTTTTCCTACGCTTGCAAACGAGGGTCTCTCCCTCAAGTTTTTAATGTAAAAAATAATCATTCAGAATGAAAAAAAACAGGTAATGCCTTCTCTTACTATTTCACCTTATGCTTTTCATTCTCTGTGTCATAGTAAATGAAAGGAAGAATTGTGTTTTATGACAGAACATATTATCCATTTTCAAAATTTGATGGAAAATGTGTTGGATGTCCCACTAGGTTGAGAAGTATGGCAGTGACAACTCGTTTGACATGGTTGCAAAAAAAGATCCTGCAAAATCATTTTGGAGACAAAAAATTTAGCCTTCTCTACAAGGCAAGTGTCCACGGATTCTCAACACAAGATTTACATAACAGATGCTGTAATCAAGGACCTATTATAACAGTGATTTATAGTGAAAATGTTGTTAGTGGAGTGTATGTGGAAGAAAACTATCAGGGAGGAACAACTGACTCCATCATTATTTTTGTACTTCGAGAGACTGAAATTTCAGAATGTAAAGCAAACTCATATAACTTATTTGTGAACTATAATGATAATGCACAATACTGTATAAATCTACAGTCTGGAAATGTACTTATCCCCCCCCAAATAGCTAAAAGACTTGAACTACCTCCAGGACATCAATACTCCTTCCAGGAGTGTGAAGTTTTTCGATGTGAAGGTAGGTTTAATCAGATCATCCTTTGTGGCGGTTTCCCTGTGTATTGGGTGGTTTCCAGCTGACCCATCTGTGTAAGCAAAAATGATCTTTTTTTTAAATGATTTATTTATTTATTTGAAACCCAGAGTTAAAAGGACTTGGCCCATCTTCTACTGCTTTCCCAGGCCATAGTAGAGAGCCAGATGGGAAGTGGAGCATCTGGAACTTGAACTGGCACCCATATGGGATGCCGGCACTGCAGACGGGGGTTTAATCTGCTACACCACAGCGCCGGCCCCTAGGAAAAATGATTGTTTCACTTGTTCTTATCTCTGGATAGATGGCCCGCGCTAAAATTTGGTCACAAGTTATTTACTAACACAAAACCATGGTCAAAAACATACTTTTTTTTTTAACTTTTATTTAATGAATATAAATTTCCAAAGTACAGCTTATGGATTACAATGGCTTCCCCCCATAACATCCCTCCCACCCGCAACCCTCCCCTTTCCCACTCCCTCTCCCCTTCCATTCACATCAAGATTCATTTTCGATTCTCTTTATATACAGAAGATCAGTTTAGCATACATTAAGTAAAGATTGCAACAGTTTGCTCCCACACAGAAACATAAAGTGAAAAATACTGTTTGAGTACTAGTTATAGCATTAAATCTCAATGTACAGCACACTAAGGACAGAGATCCTACATGAGGAGTAAGTGCACAGTGATTCCTGTTGTTGACTTAGCAAATTGACACTCTTGTTTATGGCATCAGTAATCACCCTAGGCTCTTGTCATGAGCTGCCAAGGCTATGGAAGCCCCCTGAGTTCACTGACTCTGATCATATTTAGGCAAGGCCATGGTCAAAGTGGAAGTTCTCTCCTCCCTTCAGAGAAAGGTACCTCCTTCTTTGATGACCCGTTCTTTCCACTAGGATCTCACTTGCAGAGATCTTTCATTTAGGTTTATTTATTTATTTATTTATTTTTTGGCCAGAGTGTCTTGGCTTTCCATGCCTGAAATACTCTCATGGGCTTTTCAGCTGGATCCACACGCCTTAAGGGCTGATTCTGAGGCCAGAGTGCTGTTTAGGACATCTGCCATTCTATGGGTCTGCTGTGTATCTCACTTCCCATGTTGGATCGTTCTCTCCCTTTTTGATTCTATCAGCTAGTATTTGCAGACACTATTCTTGTTTATGTGATCCCTTTGGTTCTTAGTCCTATCATTACGATCAATTGTGAACAGAAATTGATCACTGGGACTAGTGAGATGGCATTGGTACGTGCCACCTTGATGGGATTGAATTGGAATCCCCTGGTATGTTTCTAACTCTACCGTTTGAGGTAAGTCAGCTTGAGCATGTCCCGAATTGCACATCTCTTCCCTCTCTTATTCCCACTCTTATATTTAACAGTGATCACTTTTCAGTTAAGTTTCAGCACTTAAGAAGAATTGTGTATTGATTACAGTTTTCAACCAAAAGTATTAAGTAGAACAAAAAAAAAATACTGAGAGGGATAACATATTAAGCTGCTCATCAACAGTCAGGGTGAGGGCTGATCAAGTCACCGTTTCTCATAGTGTTCATTTCACTTTAACAGGTTTCCTTTTTGGTGCTCAGTTAGTTGTCACCGATCAGGGAGAACATATGGTATTTGTCCCTTTGGGATTGGCTTATTTCACTCAGCATAATGTTTTCCAAATTCCTAACAGGGATCACTTTTCAGTTAAAATTTAAACACCTAAGAATAATTGTGTGTTAATTACAGAGTTCAACCAATGGTACTAGAACAAAAAAATATTAAGTATTACATTGTACATCAATGGTCAGGACAAGAGCTGATCAAGTCACTGTTTCTCATAGTGTCCAAAAAACATACTTTTGTTAACATTTAGCATAAGATTGATCCTCTTAGCAAATATTTAATATCCAGTTCTGTTAACTATAGGCATTGCTCTATAGTGGGGCTTTAGGTATTAATTATCTTGCACAAATAAAGCTTTATATCTTTTGACCAATGCCTCTCTCTCTTTCTCTCTGTCTCCCTCTCCCTCCCTTAAATCACTGGAAACCTCCATTCCAACTGTTTGATTTTATGAGTTTGACTATGTTGTATTTCTCATTTGAGAGGGATTATAAGGCATTTGTCCTTCTGGGTCTGGCTTATTTCACTATAGTGATATATCTAAAATTCATACGTATTGTCACATATGACAGGATTTCCTTCTTTCCTAAAACTGAATAATATTCCATTTGTGAATTTATCATTTTTTAAAAACCATTGATTCATCAATGGACATATAGTCGCTTCTATGCTGTGGATGTCCAATATATAATAAGACCATAATTAATATACTTACTTTTCTATTGAAGAAGATTTGTTATTTCCAACTTCTGCTGTTGAAAACAGTGTGCCTATATAGCTTTATGCTCGTAGGTGTGTGGGAAGAAATACTTCTTTATGGTGTCTTCCTGGAGTTGAAACTGCTTTTTAAGGGTTACATACAATTGTATTTGGACAGATACCTTTCAAATGCTTCAGATGTGTACATTGTCTGCAGCAGTTTTATAAAAGGGCCTGTTTCCCTGTATTTTGCCAATTTTTTATATTATCCAGCTTTAGAATATTTGCCAATTTGATGGTCAAAAGATGGTTTCTTGTTTTCATTTTGTGGATCCTCGACGGCATGTTTACATGCATTGGCCACTTATTTTTTTCTGTGAATTACTTGTTTATATCAAATCACTTAAAGGAAGGGCTCCTAGGAGTAGTATTTCTTGAGTATTTGCATATTCCAAACTAATTTTCTGTGATGTTTATACCTGAGTTATTAATGATAAATGCACATACCTCTTGCTTCATATTTTATTTGGGGGGACATTGTAATTTTTCCACTCTATTGATGTTGCTATGGGAAACATAAGGCCAGTGTTATTTATTATTACATTTTGGGTTCTCTTTGAATGATTTGGTTTTAAAAATTGTTGAAATATGGTAAATTTACTTGAATATGTCATAATGTAGGCTATCCTGGATCAGGTAAGTAAAGTTTTTATCAAAATGTACACATAAACACAGAAGCACACAATTTATAAATGTAACCATTACTCAGAGGAAGAAATACATTATCACTATTATTGTTATTATTTCAGAGACTCCTATGTGAGTATTTCCAGTTATTAACAACCAAAGCTAGCTATTGTTCTGCCTTACATCAGCAGTAGAAAACATTTGAATGTTAGATATATAGAACCATACCAGCATTTGCTCTCTTGTGTCTGGAACCTTTCATTCAATATCATGTTGTGAGGATGAACTAATACAAGGGATTGGCTTAAAAAATCTGACTTCCATGTATCAGATATCAAACTATACCAATAATTTCAAACATAAAGGCAATAAAAATATCTCAGGGGGTCAGCACTGGGACGTAGTGGGCTAAGCCTCTGTATATGATGCCAGCATACCACATGGGCACTGGTTCTAGTCCTGGATGCTCCTCTTCTTATCCAGCTCTCTGCTGCTTTCCCAGGCGATAGCAGAGAGCTGGATTGGAAGTGTAACAGATGGGACTCATATAGAATGCTGGCATTGCAGGCAGCAGCTTTACCAGCTATGTAGAGGGGAAAACATTTTATAGAATTCTAAGTCTTTTGGGAGGGTACTGTAGCACATTGGGTTAAGCTGCCACCTACATTACCAACATCCCAACTGGGTGCCAGTTGAGTCCTGGCTGCTCCATTTCTGATCCAGCTCCCTGCTATTGTGCCTGGGACAGCAGTGGAAGATGGCCCAAGTCCTTGGACCCCTTGACCAAGGTCAGAGACCAAGAAGAAGCTCCTGGTTCCTGGTTTCAGTCTGGCACCAGCCATCATGGTCATTTGGGGAGTAAACCAATGGATGAAAGATCTCTCTTTTTCTGTCTCCCTTATCTCCCCTTCTCTCTAACTCCACCTTTCAAATAAAATAAAAAGATATTTCAAAAAAAGAATTCTAAATATTTCCTTATCCTATCCATGGACCTAGGTATTGCTTCTCTAGCTCCTAGAGTACTCCTGCAATTAAGTGGCATCTTCGAATGAGCCACACACTGCTGATGAGTAACTGGGTGAAAAAAAATCCTGCTGACACTATACAGTCTTAAGTGCCTAACTTGCTTTTAGATATAGCTCTTCAAATGAGATGATAATGAGGTTTGCTAGCATTTTCTCCATTTACTTTTTGTTATACTGCACTGTTCTCATGAAAGTTTATTTATCTATTTTTCCTTAGTGAATTCATGGATCTTCAGTCAGACTATCATTTAACTACTATTAATATATATTATTCTTTGATTATTTCCTTTAGACACAGTGGATGAAAGAAAGATACAAGGGCTCATTCAGTAAGTGAATGTTTTTAATACTTTGTCAGTCCATTCCTTATCTTTATTTATGATAATTTCCATCAGCAAAATTGACAATACAAATTCGAAAATGTGTGGGTAATTAGGAACAGACTTCATCTAGAGCTATAATCAGAAGACAATTTGATAACAGTAATGTGGCAACAAGAAAAAAACCTAAATTGAGGCTATTTCCGATGTTATTAAATACAAAAAGGAAAATATTCATTTTCTCATGTCTGTTGTTTTGCGTGTCTATGTTTTTGCTTAGAATTCTTGCAGTTAAAGTTTCAGTTACTTTAGAGTATTGTTGTGGAAAGAGTCGTTATCATGTGGCAAATTGCTATAATGAACTTCAACTGCAAATTAGAAACATTTTACTTTCATAAACTTCAAAAGTCATAGGTTATATTATTATTATTATTGAAAGTTACTATTGATTAATTTATCTTCATATTGAACATAACTCATATTTACAATCTTAGATTTATATGGCTTAAGTCTGAAAAATTTTTGTCTGATTAGCTTTAGTTGCAAATGTTATTTTTAGTTTTCATTCTTTTACAGTAGACTTTAAGGTAGAGTAGTCATATGCTGTTATGCAAAAGGCAAGATGCAAATCAAAAAGAAATGAATTCTAGGAAAATTTATGATCAGGTATTGTGAACTAAATCTAACCTCAGTCGACTGTTAAAAATTGTTGTCTAAACAGGCTCAGGGATCAATTATTGTTGGCCATGAGAGTTTATAAACCATCTGGAAACTTGGTCAACCAAGTGAAAATTCTGCTTTTGGGTCCGATTGGAGCTGGAAAGTCTAGTTTCTTCAACTCTGTGAAGTCTGTTTTCCAAGGCTATGTATCACATCAGGCTTTGGTAGGTGATGATACAACTGGAACCTCTAAGAATGTAAGTATAATTTCAGATCATGCAGCCTTTGATTCTTCGTCCAAATTAATTATCTTTGAAATTTTTTGCAGATCAGCTTCATCCCACATGTAGACTTGATCTTAAAATGTAAGAAAAAATAAACTTAAAATTGTTTTTCTCCTATCTGCAGTACAGGGTCTATTCCATGAAAGATAGGATTAATGGTGCCTCCCTGCCATTTGTTCTGTGTGACTCCCTGGGGCTGGGTGAAGACGAAGAAGGCCTGTGTGTGGAAGACATACTCTCTCTCATAAAAGGCCATGTTTCAGACAGATACCAGGTAAGACATGGTTACTATTAAAGAAACTGTAGTTAATTTTTAAATAAAATGCTTGTTTTTGCCGACTATCCATAACAATAAACTCTTATCTATCTTAACCTATCAGTATTTATCTTCTGAAATTATACTAGTTCCAGGCCTTTTTCTTTTTGATATTTGAAGAATAATGATATCTATAGGATTCTCCTGTCATAGCTATCATAAGAGCTATGAACTTTGTCCTGTCTTCAATTGCTTTTGTGTTTTAAGGTCAATCAAACAGTTTCTCTATATTTATGAATAAAAATATGCATGCAAAAGTGCTTGTTTAGGGATTACTTAAAATTTTTATTTTATATTAATCTTCATCTTTCATATGATTCTAAAGTAAAATCCATAAAACAAAGTATAATCAAAGAATCTATTTTTTTATCTGCTCCCTCCTAAAATTCCTCCTCCTTCTGTATTAGGCAGATAACATTAATGACTTACTTTCCTTTTTACTATATAGGAGATGCTTTCATATTTGTGTTTCTGTATTTCTTAGGGAAGTTTTAGAATATTATCTTATTGATGCTCTGGACATTTTCTGCTACAAATATTTCTTCAGTTAATAGCCTTATACATACATTGTTTTGTATTCTTGACACTATAATTGTGGAACTAGTTCCAGCAGAGCCACTGCTAGCTCAAAAGTAAAAGCATTTGTCTTATCTTGAACCACCTTCTTTCCTTGTACTGTGCATGATGTCAACTCTCCTCTTGAGTGCGTTCATGTCCAGCTTGGTTCACGTTGCCTTTGTCATTTAGAATATTTTTTGTCACCTCTCTATCTCCTTTATCAAACTAATTCCCCCTATTTTTAGCTCTTAGCTTTCATGTTCCTTCTCAAAGAATCTTACCTAACTAGGCAAAAGGACTATTGCCTACTTGCATCTATTGTCTTATCCACAGTTAGCCTCTTAATATTTGATATCTATTTTGATCACTTATACAGTATCTGGTACACAGTATTTCTCACAAATGTCCATTGGATCGATGCATTGCTTTATGTTTACCTTATAGTTTAATTCCATGAAGCCCATCACATCAAGTGATGTTAAATATATAAAGTACCCACAGCTGAAGGACAGAATCCACTGTGCAGTATTTGTGTTTGATATCAATTCTATTGAACACCTCTCTTATGGGATGGTAGCAAAGATTAAAAGAATTAGAAGAGAGATGATAAAGTGTGGTGAGTCTCATTTCATTTTGCTCCTAAGGGTAACTTACTAGACTATACTGTAGAATGGCTTTTGGACAGGATGAAGAACTGAAGTACTTGCATATTTGATTATTCCCTGACTCACTAATTTAATTAAACCCAGGAAGCACTCACTAGCTGTATGCTGTTGTGCAAATGACTTAAGCTCAGTTTCCTAATCAATACAATTAGTATGATAATGATACATATTTCTAAGATGTTTGTAAGAATTAAACCACGTAAATTAAGAAAGAGCCAGTTTATCCACAACTTTAACTTAGAAGTAAGAAATGATTGCTTACATGTTCACTGAAATGTAAAAGACTTTGCAGAGTGTAGAGAGAGGTGCTTATTAACATTGTGAAACAGAAAAAGCTTGTTTATGATACTCAGACACATTCTGATTCCTCCTTCAGGCTTTTTGCCCCATGTAGTTTATTAGTTTTTTGATTTTTGCTACAGTTTCCATAAAAACATAACTAATAGGACAGGAAATCACATATATATTGTAGCACACATTTTAGTTTCATATTCCAAAAGGTGGTTTTATTTGAAGCTTAATTTCTTATCATGGCAGGAAATGGAAGGGTCTTCCCATGTCAAAGAAATTCCAGGAATTAATGAACAATTTAGGGGGGGTTCTTGGGTGTGGGAGGGGAGCTGAAGCAGGATGTAGGGGGATATTTCTAATTCTACATTGCTCCATAAGTAGACTATTGCACAACTGTTAGCAGATTAACTAAAAATACTGATGCTGTGTGTAATGATAAAAACTGTGTGCATCTGTTTGACATAGGCATGCTACATGTAGTTTTGCTCACTCATGTGGATAGTATGAAGCTGATTACAAGGGGTGACCTTATTGACATATACAGCTGTGTTCCTGTGAAATTAAAGGTAATGAATAAATGCTCTTTGTAAACACACTTTCTGGAATATGTCATTATAATTACATGATATTACTGTGTATAAAAATAAAAATAGACATATATTAAGCTTAAGGGGACTTAAGGGTGAGAGTTTGACATCCCATGGTATGCCCACATCCCATATCAATCTGAAATCTACTGTTTCAGCCACTGGTTTACATGATGTTAATGTTATTAACATGATGTTAATACATTCATGAACTGTCCATTGAATAATGGAAGAATTGTATTTCCTGGGGAATATGGCCATTTGAGGTTTTACACATAGAAATTTGGAGACTGGTGTTGTGGCATAGCATGCTAGGTCTCCTTTTGTAATGCTTGCATCCCATATCAGAGCACAATTTAAGCCCCAGCTTCTCCACCTCTGATGCAGCTCTCTGCTAATGTGCCTGGGAAAGTAACAGAAGATGGCCCAAGTACCTGGGCCTCTGCCACCCATGTGGGAGACCCAGTTGGAATTCCAGCAACTGGCTGTGGCCTGGCCCAGACCTGGCTGTTGCAGATATTTGGAGAGTGAACCAGTGGAAGGAAGATGTCTCTCTCGCTGTCTATTGCTCTCTGTAACTCTGCTTTTTAAATAAATAAATTTTTTAAAAAGAAATAGACAGATAATGAAGAATTTCCACTACTATATGATGCTTACAATTTTTTAGGTGAGAATAAGGGGATAGGATCATATGATAAGAAAAAATTGACTTAACAAATTGACACTCTTGTTTATGGCATCAGTAATCACCCTAGGCTCTTGTCATGAGTCGCCAAGGCTATGGAACCCTTTTGGGTTCACCAACTCTGATCATATTTAGACAAGGTCGTAGTCAAAGTGGAAGTTCTCTCCTCCCTTCAGAGAAAGGTACCTCCTTCTTAGATGACCTGTTCTTTTCACTGGGATCTAACTGGTGGAGATCTTTCATGTAGGGTTTTTTTTTTTTTTTTTTGCCAGAGTGTTTTGACTTTCTATGCCTAAAATACTCTCATGGGCTCTTCAGCCAGATCCGCGTGCCTTAAGAGCTGATTCTGAGGCCAGAGTGCCGTTCAGGACATCTGCCTAATTCTATGGGTCTGCTGTGTGTCTCGCTTCCCATATTGGATCATTCTCTCACTTTTTATTCTTTCAGCTAGTATTTGCAGACACTATTCTTGTTTATGTGATCCCTTTGGTTCTTAGTCCTATCATTATGATCAATTGTGAACAGAAATTGATCACTGGGACTAGTGAGATGGCATTGGTACATGCCACCTCCATGGGATTGAATTGGAATCCCCTGGTATGTTTCTAACTCTACCGTTTGAGGTAAGTCAGGTTGAGTATGTCCCAAATTGTACATCTCTTCCCTCTCTTATTCCCACTCTTATATTTAACAGTGATCACTTTTCAGTTAAGTTTCAACACTTAAGAAGAATTGTGTATTGATTATAGTATTCAACCAAAAGTATTAAGTAAAACAAATAAACAAAAAAACTACTAAGAGGGATAATGTATTAAGTTATTCATCAACCGTCAGGGCAAGGGCTGATCAAATCGCCATTTCTCATAGTGTTCATTTCACTTTAACAGGTTTCCTTTTTGGTGCTCAGTTAGTTGTCACCAATCAGGGAGAACATATGGTATTTTTCCCTTTGGGATTGGCTTATTTCACTCAGCATAATGCTTTCCAGAATCCTAACAGGGATCACTTTTCAGTTAAAATGTAAACACCTAAGAATAATTGTGTGTTAATTACAGAGTTCAGCCAATAGTACTAGAACAAAAAAAGTACAAAAATGGATAAATTATTACATTTTACATCAACAGGACAAGAGCTGATCAGGTCACTGTTTCTCATAGTGTCAATTTCACTTCAACAAGTTTCCATTTTGGTGCTCAGTTAGTTGTCACCGATCAGGGAGAACATATGATATTTGTCCCTTTGGGACTGGCTTAGTTCACTCAGCATGATATTTTCCAGATTCCTCCATCTTTTTGCAAATGACTTGATTTCATTGTTTTTGACTGCTGTATAGTATTCTATAGAGTACATGTCCCATATTTTCTTTATCCAGTCTACTCTTGATGGGCATTTGGTTTGGTTCCAGGTCTTAGCTATTGTGAATTGAGCTGCAATAAACATTAAGGTGCAGACAGCTTGTTTGTTTGCCAATTTAATTTCCTTTGGGTAAATTCCAAGGAGTGGGATGGCTGGGTTGAATGGTAGGGTTATATTCAGGTTTCTGAGGAATCTCCAGACTGACTTCCATAGTGGCTTAACCAATTTGCATTCCCACCAACAGTGGGTTAGTGTCCCTTTTTCCCCACATCCTCTCTAGCATCTATTGTTGGTAGATTTCTGAATGTGAGCCATTCTAACTGGGGTGAGGTGAAACCTCATTGTGGTTTTGATTTGCATTTCCCTGATTGCTAGCGATCTTGAACATTTTTTCATGTGTCTGTTGGCCATTTGGATTTCGTCTTTTGAAAAATATCTGTTGAGGTCCTTGGCCCATCTCTTAAGTGGGTTGTTTGTTTTGATGTTGTGGAGTTTCTTGATTTCTTTGTAGATTCTGGTTATCAACCCTTTATCTGTTGCAGAGTTTGCAAATATTTTTTCCCATTCTGTCGGTTGCCTCTTCACTTTCCTGACTGTTTCTTTCGCAGTACAGAAACTTCTGAATTTGATGCAATCCCAAATGTTAATTTTGGTTTTGACTGCCTGTGCTTCTGGGGTCTTTTCCAAGAAGTCTTTGCCGGTACCTATATCTTGAAGGGTTTTTCCAATGCTCTCTAGTAATTTGATGGTGTCGGGTCGTAGATTTAAGTGATCTCTCTCCTTAATGTGCTGTACATTGTGATTTAATGCTATAACTAGTACTCAAACAGTATTTTTCACTTTGTGTTTCTATGTGGGTGCAAACTGTTGCAATCTTTACTTAATATATGCTAAACTGATCTTCTGTATATAAAGAGAATTGAAAGTGAATCTTGATGTGAATGAAAGGGGATAGAGAGCGGGAGAGGGGAGGGTTGCGGGTGGGAGGGAAGTTATGGGGGGGGGAGCCATTTTAATCCATAAGCTGTACTTTGGAAATTTATATTCATTAAATAAAAGTTAAAAAAAGAAAAAATGACAAAGGAATATGGTAGATTAAGTATGATAAATATCATGTAATGATTAAACTCAAGTGCTATATATGTTTAGAGTAGGAAAATTAAGGGATGTGAAATTTTATTAATGGGTGGCTCTTGTAAAAGAATTTAAAGGAGGAATATTTTAGGAAATGATAAGGAAAAAGAAAAACATTCAGGCCATAGGGACAGCATAAGTCAATATATTCATGTAGAAAAAAAATCAACATATCAGGGAAGCTTGGAGTTCAGCTTAGTGGAGGACTGGATCTTTGCAAGGGGAGCTAAGAGAAAGGAAGATTTGCATGAGTTGACATTGCAGAAGTAGCCCCATTATGCGGAACTATAATGATTTTTTGAAACAGTAACAATATGATCAAAATTAAACTTTACAAAAATTCATCTGTCACTTTGTGCAGAATAGATTTGAGTCCAAGGAACCTGAGGTGGGAACACCAGTTTAGAGGGTATGATGTTGCTGTTATTCGTGGAGCACTACATGTGTGATGGATTTTCCTATTGCATACAAATAATAACCCTATAAAAAGGGCACTGTCATTATTTCATTCTATGGGTAAAGATCCAAAAGTACACCATTTAAAGCAGTTTCCAGTGTTAACAGACAGTGTGAAGAAATGACGAAGACTTTTTTTTAAGCTCAGGTATTCTGGCTCTAGAGATAACCTAGTGCAGGTAATAACTGAACATTAAACTAATCAAAAAATCAACTTATCCCATGAATAACTTTTAAAAGGAAACAAGAAAACTGTGGATTTTAGTGTAAGAGTGTTACAACTGCTTCAATTTCATAGCAGTTTCTACTAGTTACCTTTTGTTCCTGATTAACATTGACCATTATATGTATTCTAACTGAAAATCAGCAGTGATATTGGAACTTGCTATGTGAAGGTCTTTTTCCCCCTAAAAATATATTTATTTATTTGAAAGGCAGGAGGGAAGGGTGGAAAGACAGAGAGAGAGAGAGAGAGAGAGAGAGAGAGAGAGAAATTATCCAACTACAAATTCACTCCCCAACTGGCAATATTGGTTGTGAAGCCAGAAACTTCATCCTGGTGTCCCATATGGATGTAGGGGCCCAAGCACTTTGGCCATTCTCCATGGCTTTTCCCAAGCTTGAGCAGGGAGCTGCCTCAGACATGGAGCAGCTAGGATATGAACCAGCACCCTTATGAAATACTGGCATTGTAGGTGATGGCTTAACCTGTTGTGCCAGCCCCTTTAGTGAAGTTCTTTAAGTAAATACTTTGTAGGACAAGATTTCCATTTTCACCAACAGGGCAATCATTGCCAAGCTTGTACTTTATTATTATTATTTTTACAACTTACATTGTGGTAACGTAATTTTTTTCTGTTTTATGGTTTCTGAGTTTTAATTTCTATTTTGCAGATAAATGCAGTCCACAGAAATCTTGGATTTTCTGTTTCAGACATCTTGGTGGTTAGCAATTATAGCTCAGAGTGGGAACTGGATGCTATCAAGGATATTCTAATCCTTTCTGCACTGAGAAAGATGCTGTGGACTGCAGATGACTTCTTAGAGGACTTTCCTCTTGAATAGACAGGTAAATGAATTTGCTTGTGTCCAGCTCCTTGGCTATTTCCTTCCTGGATCTATTGGATACCTAGTAGTTCTGTGGCTTTGTGGGTTATTGCTTATAATTAGCCCTGCCCTCTAACCTACTGCCTCGATTCATTTGTTTCCTCATCTTTCCTGTTTTTTTTTTTTTTCCCCTCTCTAGACTTCACCCTGGATGTTCTGCAGTACTTCTGTTTCCCCTAATATTAAGATTGCATTTTAGAAATAATACATCCCTGTCATCATAACTGGACAATTCAGGCCGTGTCCTGGGCCTCCTCTCTCAGAATATGCTTCTTTGCTTGTGGCCTAGAATTGGATTGTATTATCATAGCATATCAGAGGTGGTCTTTGATTTTTTGCCTCTTTCTTAGAGCTTTATGCTTCCACTTTTTTTTTTTATCTCTTTTGGACTCTTCTTCTTCATGCACTGTGATGAGTGTTAAGTAGAGGTATGATTTCGGCCTCTGAATATGACACTATGTATATTCTTTCTTATCAGCCTGCACACAGTATATGTTGTATTGTTGCAATCAAAGATTAGATAGAATTTTCAATTTATCATACTGTAATATCACTTTAGTTCTTGAGAAGTCAAATTACTGCATGCTATCATTTTAAATTTTCTTACTCTCAGATTACTAAGAAAGTCTTATATACTAATGTTGCCGTCCTAACTCTGCCTCTTAGTTTCTCCATCTCTTATCTTCCTCAAAGTACACTAGCTCTTGAAATCAGGCTTGGTTTAGAACTCCAGTGCCTGAGCATTCTTCTCCTGGGTGCTTTTTCCCAGATAATTCACCAAGAATATTTTATTTCTCTTTTCTCAGAAATCAGTGAAAGGGAATTTTCAAGTGTGTAAAAAAAAAATATGTGAACACTTCACATATTATCAATTTTGTCACACCTTGAAGAGTGAAATTGAGGAAGAATAAAATGCAGAAAGAGAAGTAACTGAGGGCAAAGGGATGTATCGTATCTAGGATGAAGATCACATATAAAGTTGTAGTACCTATAAATAACTTGGAACAGCAATATTTAAAGTCATTAACTGTAAAAATCAATTATAACTGTCTTTGAATTTATATTATGTATCTCTGAAAATAAAGTTTATTCTTATAAAACCTGGATCTAACTGGAATGTCTCTGTGTGTGTGTGTGTGTGTGTGTGTCTTGTTTTTGTGTGTGTATGATTTTGGAAACATTTTATTTTAATATGACTTGACATAATCTTCTGATATTCACCCTTTTTTTCTGAATTTTATCTTCTGATTTCTAAACTACTTTAAGCTCTTTGGATCCTCACTTAATGTTGTATTCTTTAATATAATTCAATTTTGGCTTAATATCTAACCCTCTTCTTAGATGTGATAAATTTAATACAGTTTCCTAGTACTAAAACTGAAAGAGACCATTGTTAGTTACTTTATCAGTTATGACTATTTTAGTTATATGTGGGAAAATGCAACCTGAACTACATGCATAAAGAAGGGGACTGTGCTACTGGATGATGGAATCAAACCAAAGAAATGGCTGAGATTGAATTGGCCTTAGAGGTGACTGAATGTAGGGATTAAAAAACTACTGTTTCTCTGTAAACACATGCATCATCACTTCCACCCATCTGCCACTGGTCAAACCAAGGCACGGACCTAAAACAAATTCAAGAGCCTGTACAATTCAACTCATTCACAATGAAGTCATGTTAAATGTGTGCTTGCAGAAAGAGTGAAGAACTGGGACCAGGGGTGTAATATCTATCTCTTTATCTATCTATCGTCCCTCTATATATACTAGTATAAGCATAAAATAACAAGATGCACAATTTCCCTCTTTTGTTTTCTTTTCCATTCCAATATCAAAAGAAAGCCGATTACTCTCTCATGGGAAGATCAAGATACATTCTCTACTCTCCTCCAAAGGCACCTGTATTTTCTAGTATATTATCATAAGGCAGTGAGGTAAAATTTATACTTGATCATTTTCAAAAGTAAGCTGACTCTTGGGCCAGAGCCATGGCTCACTTGGTTCATCCTCTGCCTGCGGCGCCGGCATCCCATACGGGTGCCGGGTTCTAGTCCTGGTTGTTCCTCTTCCAGTCCAGCTCTCTGCTATGGCCCAGGAGTGCAGTGGAGGATGGCCCAAGTGCTTGGGCCTCTGCACCTGCATGGGAGACCAGGAAGAGGCACCTGGCTCCTGGCTTCGGATTGGTGCAGCACACTGGCCATTAGGGGAGTGAACCAGTGGAAGGAAGACCTTTCTTTCTCTCTCTCTCTCTCACTGTCTAACTCTATCTGTCAAACAAATAAAAAAAAATATTAAAAGTAAGCTGACCCATTACAAAGATATTGTACTGTTAACTTCCCTATTGGGAATAAAAGCAAAACAGAAATAGATACTGTGATATTCATTCAGTTTTGAGGAGAAAACTTGGACTGGGATATTAGGAGACTTTCCATAGAGTAAGTAACATATGTGGTTTTGTACTGTCTTTGTATGTATACACTATATTTTTGCCAGGCTGTACTAGCAAAAAAGAGGCACAATGGCTTGTGGGGTTACCTGGATTGTGAAGAATAAACATATTGCACCCAAAATAGTGTTGACTTTTATTAATCAAGTGCTCAAGTAGAAAAATGAGTTCGAATGAGGTCTGGAATAAGAATGATTTTGAGAGATTTACAAAGGAGGACTATAGCCCAAGTAGCAAAATCAGAACCAGGTAATGCTGATACAGAAATTATTTTGGAAATACTATGCAGACACAAACAGATTGAATTCTCTGGCAGTCTGTTTCTGCTCCTAGTTGGTGGCTATTGGGATAACCGAACTTTCAAATTACCTATCAGTAGCTAGACTATCACTTCAAAGACAATTGTTGTCCTGAAGCTTGGCTTAGGTGAAGATAGCTCCCATGATTGAAGGGTATCAAATAAGTCTAAGGCTCCAAATGTGAATAATGCCATGGGTAATGTCAGAGAGATTTTCCAGTAATGACGGATTAGCTCTGGTGGATAAAAAGGAAATGGAATGGTAACTGAAGGTGACTTTTTGTTAAGTTTTTCTCTTTTTTTAATAAGATTTTATTTAAGGTATGCAAATTTCATGCATTTCATTTATACAGATTTAGGAAATAGTGATTCTTCTTACCCTACTCTCCCTCCTGCCCATGCCCCCACCCTTCTTCCTTCTTTTTCTTTTATTCTCACTCTTAATTTTTACAAAGATTTATTTTCAGTTTACTCTGAAGGTGACTCTGAGAAGGGAAATTGTAAACAGGAGCAGTTTGCAGCTCTGCCTTTGGGATAGGTATTAGAATCACCAGATTTGCCAGTTTCTATTTATGCAAAATCTTAATGTATGATTCTTACCCTACTAGAGCAATGCAAGCTTCCTAGTTTCCTAGGGAAAGTCTCCTAATTGAGAGAGATTAGGCTTGTTGGGAATTTTATCTGTTTCATTTTGTTGATAGTAAAATCTTGGTTTAAAAAGGCAAAGGTAAGTCTGCACAATGGATAGAACTGCAGGCAGTATGAGAGGGTCTTTAAAAATTGTGGAAAATATGTATGATAAAAATTATGCATGAATTTAAATTATTTTGTACCAAAATATACTTGTATTAGGTTGTCTTTTTTCTGTGAATTCTCATTACAGCATAGAAGAAAAAATAAACTGTGCAGTCATTCTGCTATATATAAAGACTTACACTGTGGTCAGTGACCTGTGTAGTTCAAATTGTGTGTATATGATTGAATAATTAATAGTACATTGGGAGGAGAACTAAATAAAATTCTGTGCGAATTATGTGGAAGAGTTCAAGTGGGCTATGTCAATAGCCACCAGGTAAAACCTGGTTACTGGATAGTAAGAGATGAGAATGCAAAGGCCGATGCACTGCTCTATTGCTGATATGTATCTACTTGTGTAAAAAATGAAATCAACAGAAATATTGTTACTTAAGCAATAAACATTGGGTGGAAGTATAAAATTTCTTTTTATGGAAACTGCTAATGTGGTAACACACTTTACGGAATGCTAATAAGAAGTAAATTTCTAAAAGATAGTTTCTGGTTAGATTCCTCCAGGGTGAAAAACAGGGCTCCTTCTTAATAGTTCCAGGTGATTGTACTGGGTCCTGACTAGAATAAATGCATGTTGGACTTTGACTTTGCATATTCCTTGGGTGTAGCAATGGTTTAGGATACTACTAACTATTTGGAACAGCAGAATGTAAATAAACTCTGTCTCCTCAGTTATATTTCATCAGATCAGAGTATTCATATTACTGTTGCTGATGTATAAAAATGAACTAAAAGACAAAGTTGGACTTGTCAAATTCTGTATTGCTAATATAGAAGCAGTTTTATTAAGAACTAGAATGGGGGTGGTAATTTAGGAAATGTTTAACGTGAGAGACCTGCATCCATATTGAAGTGTCTGGTCTGAGTTCTGGTCCTCCACTTCTGATCCAGCTTCCTGTTAGTGTGCACCCTGGAAAGCAGCAGTTGATTGCTCAAATACCTGGGACCCTGCCACCCAGATCGAATTCTAACCTCCTGGCTTTAGCCTGATCCAACCCTGGCTATTGTGGACATTTGGGGTGGGATTCAGTAAATGAAGATCTTTCTCTCTCGTTCACTCTTGCTCTCTCGCTCTCTAGCTCTTTCGCTCTTTTCCTCTCTTTCACTGCCTTTCAAATAAATAAAAAAACGATTTTTTAAAAGCTGATGATAATGTGAACATGAAGGACTGGCAGGCTTAATTAATGATTATAAAATAGGTAAACCATCAGGAAGATTTTGGTGTATGATTGTGGGAATAAAGAGAACAGTGATGAGGCACTCACACAACTTTACCTTTCCAACAAATGTTCTTGTATCTTGCCATATCTATTCACGTCAGGTTTGGGCTACAATAACATACATATTTCAGCATAGAGAGACTTTGCTGCTCAGAGTAGCTGCTCAGAGTACACTTGAATTTGTGTGAATTTGACTTAAATATTCATAAGGAAACAGTGGCTTTGATAGTGCTTCACCTATGACTGACTGTAAGGGCATCCCTGTTGTCTGCAACTGTGTAGGGAGGTGTCCTCCCATTTTATTTATCTTTGTAGTCTTTCTTTCTAGGAATGGAAAACACTGGAAGGGTTACTCCCACTTATTACCCTATAGGTGTAACTGTAAAGACATACCTAAGCCAGAAAATATGGTCATAAGCAGGAAAATCAAATGGAAATCAAAGGGGTGAATTGTGGCATATGGGAAGGAAGTGCACAAAATGTGTAATGATTCTGGGAGCAGATGCATCATGCTTTTCCGAGAACAGTGTTTCAGGAACAGAAAAATATTCTGTAGGAGATTAGCACTAATGCTAAGCCACAGGAAAGACCCAAGAAGTCCAATTCATTTATTTACTGATAAGCCTTCAACTACCCTTGATGACTTATGTCCATATTAGCTGTTTGGAATTTTCATCTGAGTCTCTTTTTGTTGATTATGCTTATATGGTTCTATTTTAGCCTAAAAAGAAACCCTACCTTTTAACTGAACAAGATGCATATTGTGATTCGCAGATGGAAATGAGTGTGAAAGAAAAAAATGCAACCATTTTATTTCCAGCAGGTTGATGTCCCCTTGGTTTTTTTTCACTGATACATGTGAATGCAGAAAAAAATCTTACACATTTAGAACATCAGGTTGGTGTTCCTGAGAATGATTTGGTATTATGATCAAATATCACTGATGGATTTACCTGTGAAAGAGATGATTTTATTAAGCCTGATGCATATTAAATTGGACTGTATATAAGAGTCAATATGTTCCACTGACAGTCTCCTTGAGTACCTATGTTGAGTACCCATGGTACAAACAGTCAGTGGCTACTATATCTGCATTTTATTAACCTCAAATTGCCCCACATTATCTATAGGGATTTGAGAATTGGGAATTGAGTTTGATGTGTTGAATCAAGTGTAGCTGCCTTCTCTGGAGACTCACCATCATTCTGAGACAGATGGGGACACTAGATGGATTTTTCTCTCAGGAATCTTGTCCATGCTATGTAGGTCAGTTGGAAAGTTTGATGAAACTATCTGAAATGTAAAAAGAAAGAGGAGAAATAGGAGTGG